GTCATAGGAATAGAATTTAGAACTAGGAAATGATTATTTTAATAAAATGGGTTAGCCTCTAGTGGGGGGTTGAGTGTGGTAGTGAAGACAGAATTTTTTTTGATGGTAACGTGCTTTGACTCCATCCTATGTGTAATGTTAAGCTTTTACAAGGTAGTGACAATATACATACATTTTTAAAAAGTGAGTGGTTAACTAGCTTACTTTTGATGAATTTCCCTGCCTGAGGGAAGTTGGTGCCCTCCAAACTGATGACCCTATGTGTTTATGTTTTGAATAAATAGTATATCGAAATCAAACTATTATGCTTTTCTTAGGGGTTTGATCATCTTGGTGGTATCTCCTTCCATTCAAGGGTTGTGGCAGGATGTTACCAACACAATTACTTATTAATTGAAATCTTCATATGAAAGAAATCATCAGCCCAAAAGAAAGTGAGAGAAAACAGTTGTTGCTGTTCCTGCTCTAAAAGCAATTTTTATTTGTTTGAATAAGAGACTCAATTTTATTTTACTTGGTTGTGTGAATAAGTCCACTTTCTTCTAGAATCCTTTATTCAGGCATTGACACAATCAACAAGTTAAGTCACAGGGCAGTAGACTTTGAGGACAGTGGCTAAATCGTCAATTTTATTTACTGTGTGGAATGACTTTGACATCCTTTTGTATTTAGAAAGTTTTTTTTTAAAAAATCACATCAGTGTATTAGTGAACAGAGAAGCAAGGGAAAGATCAGTTACTATTTTTGCTGAAAGCAGATTATGGTCATATCCTAAAATTACATATTATAGTGACTTGGCATTGAGCAGGACATTCTTAATATTCAATATCATAGAATGCCATTTAAATGATATACTAAAAGTGAAACAAGTTAGATATGTTTGAATTTAAAATACAAAAGGAGATGAAAGAAGGTGTCCTTACTGGACAAACTAGATCTGAATTAATACGATAATCTGTCCCTTTCAAGATGTATACCATGAAAGCAACAGTGACAACAGTGATTTAAAATGTTTCTGAATTGAAATACAGAAGTAAATGTGCTTGGCAGAGCATTTATTTTATTGTGAGTTTGTCTCTGGTGGACTTTATTCTCCCAGTCATCTTAAAGCTTTGAAATTTACTGATTCTAGATTCTGCTTCATGGTTTTCTTGGTCTCCTTGTTGTAACGTGCTATATACTGCACACATCCATTATGGAACACAATTTCCCTTCTAGCTAAGAAACACTAATTTTTTTTGGGAAAAGTCTTGCTATTTAAGACTCTTGCCAAACAATCTGTAAATGGAAAGGAGTCTGGAGACTGTGACCACTATTGGCAACTTATGAAGTATTAGGTAATAAGGAAGCAATGATGAGAAGCTAGTGATGCTGACTCCTGCATTTTGTTAGATCTGATTCCACATGGATATTAATAATGATGCACCCTATGGATGCAATTTTATGTTTATAACACTTTGGCCATTGGCAGTATTGTGCACCTGTGTTTTCCATGCCTTCCCATCTGCTGCCTACAGTCATTCAGATTCAGGTGACAGAAATATTTTAGATAAAAGTTAATTAGCCTGCACTCTGCAGATCAAATCTCTATAGTTCAGCATTAAATAGGAATCTTCTGGGCAACTGCTGAAAGTAGTTTGTATTCACCCTTCCTAAGATTAAAAATGTAAGATTTATTTTTCTAGAAAAAGGAATCTTTAGTACTCCCTTGATATTTTATGCATAGATTCTATCAAACTTTTGACTTGTATATTGCCCTTATTCATTTTAGTTCTTTCCTCTGCATATATATCAAGCGTGGAAGAAGAGAGATTAGAAATATATATATTTTTGAGCTAACGGAACAGAGTGAAAATGATGTAAAGTTAGAAATCCTCCAAGGTCTGGACTCTTTTACTAGTACACTGACTAACGTTGATCAAGCTCCAGAACTTTCCTTAGTTTCTCAATCTTCAAAATGGGGCCAATGCCAGTTACCTATTTGCTTCATAAATACTTTGTGCAAGGCTTAATACAGCTGGTTATTATGATAAAAGTAATGTATAAAATGCAGAAAACTCCTTTTGCTATAAGGACCCTACCCTGTCCTTAAGTATTTATCTCCTCATTATTACTTGTCAACAATTAAGTTCACAAATAGCTTCTTTTATTAAAAATATATTTAGTTTTTTTAACAGATAAAAAACTATATCATTAGATTCACTTTCCTTTATTCTTAGATAATGGGAGCAGCAATGAGCTCACCACAGCAATTGCATACCAGCCTCCAAGACCATGTCACACAGAAGGAAGGTGGGGACAAAGAAACATCCTCAAATGAATCTACCCATCCATTTTTACACTATTATGTATTTCTAATGCTTTCCAGTACCTCAAACTAATTAACCGCTCTTCTTTACCTATTGCTTCTTCTGTGCTAGTTGTAGATTTTCTATTTACTCAAAGGGACTCAGAGGGATGTGTCTCCTTCCTCACACCAACGCCTAAGGCTCAGGCACACCTTCTGAAGTCAAGGAGAGCAGATGCTGCTTTTTCCGCCACATGCTCTCAGAGTTCCTCACGGGAGTGTAGGACTCCAGCAGAGAGACAGGAACACCCCACCCCCAGTCCCTGCTCTTGTCTTTGGAGCCTTGACCGCTCTCCACGGTCCTGAATCTCGACTTCTACTTCTGTCGGGCATCTAGAAGATTTTTTCCAGCTGGTCAAAACGTGAAGATTTTTTTTTCGTCCACGTATCTCCCCATTTCCTTCCATCCGCTACCCCCACCTGGCATTTTATTTTCATCCACTCTTAAATTGTTTTATTCTACTTCTACTGAGGTCCTTCTACCTATCACCTATGCATATGGTCCCATCCTTAAACAATATCAAAGTTATAACACACCCAGTCCCTCCGGACGTCACCGGGCCCTTTTTTTCTCTGCCCACGCTACGGCCCCTGCCCCCAGCTGCGCCCATCTCCACTCCACGCGCCAGACTCCTCTCACCTGACTCTCCCGCGGAAACTCGTGGCGCACGATGCTGATCACGGGAATGTGCAGGACTGAGCTGACTAAGTCGAGCTCCATCATCTCGCCCAGGCCCTGGGGGAAGGCGAGCAGCGCCGATACCCCTTGCACCACCACGGTGTGGCACACACTTTGCAGAAAGGAGAAAGGGTCACTGCTCCACGGCGAGCTAGGGGAGGAGAAGGGCAAAAGCGGCAGATCGCCCAGGCCTGCCTCGATGGCCATCACTACTTCCAAAGACAGGTTGTAGGGCAGTAGCCCTTCCACGCGGTTCAGGTTGTCCACTGCGAATAGGAGGGCGTCCCGCGGCCACAAGGTCTCTGCCCGGGTTCCCTCCCCGGGCTTCCGGGCGCCAGGCGGCCCCCGGCCACGTAGGGTGCTCCCCAACCAGCGTGCGCCCGGCGAGGGCGCCGGGGGCCGCCAAGTCCCTGGCTCCGGCTCATCCCTCTGGGCGCCTGCCCGGCTGCCGTCCGGAGCGCGGCTGGCCGAGCGCGGGGCCGTGGTCCAGGGCTGCAAGTGTACCGCGCCCACCCTCACCGCGTGCCCGATGCGCTTGAGGATCTGGCACGGCTGCGGGTGCGAGGAGGAGCCGGGCACCCCGGCTAGTACCAGTGCGCAGGGCGGTGGCAGCAGCAGACAGACCCTGCTCAGCAGCCACCACAAACTCAGTCTCCTCATTACTGAGACCCGCAGGGAGAAAGCGCGCCCCCTCCTGCGCCCGGCTTGCCCCTCTGCAGCTGCCGCCTAAGGTCTCCGCCTCCAGGTCCCGCGCGCAGCTTCACTCCACTCGTTGAAGCGGTCCCAGGAGCTGGAGTGGTCTCCGGGCCATCCAAGTTGAAGCCTAGCGCGCCCTTGGCAGTCTCAGATCCCGCTCCAGGGTCCCTCCGCCTGGCATCTTCTGCCCGCCCGGTCACTGCGCGGAGCGGGGAAGGCAAGCGGGCTGACGCTTGTCACCCGCGCCTGGGGCGCCTGTTCCCTGCCCGCCCCATCTGCAGGGTGCCTCGGGCACTGCGTCCGCCCGCCACGAGGCTGGGCTGAGAAGCAGCTGGAGTTCCAAGGGGGCAGGGGTGACAGAGGAGCAACGCTCTCACTTGGATTCTTTCCCTTTTCTGCCCAGGAGAGACCCACTTATTTCCTGGGGTCGCGTTGGAGAGGGCGTTCACGCCCGGGGTGCGGAAAAGAAGCCAAATCCGCCTTGCTCCACAGTCGGCCACACTCTTGCAGGCTCCCCCAGCGCTGGCTTCATTTTCTTTCTTCCCTCGCTGCTACTTCTCTTCCTTTCTTTCGTTATTTTTCTGCCCAGTCGCCACCGCCGTTTGCTTCCTTGGAGGAGCAACACGACTGGCCAGCAAAGGGTGGTTCTGCTCGGAGCGCCAAAGTTCTCCCCGCCTCAGCCGGCGCCTCCCTGTTGCTGCGCCCTGGCGCCAGCCTGTCGCTTGGCTGCGCTAAACGCCCACTGTTGGTGAGATTCCCGAGTGGCACATCCAGTGCCCCAGGAAAGTCCTCGCCCCTCAAAAGGCCGGGAGCCGCAGTTTGCAAAATTCCCCGAGACCTCAGAGGGAAAAGATTCTGAGCCGCAGAGAATTCTGAATTCACAGTCGTGCCTGAGGGATCTGAAATCCAGGTTCACTGAAATAGGTTCAAAAAGGCTGTGACTTTAACGAGCTTCTGGATGTGTCGCTTTAAAGGTTTTTCTAGCTAAGGGTATTAAAGCAAGAATTATTTACACATTTAATCTCCCCAGCTGCCTTCTCTCTGGTATGTGAGCCTTTGCGTTTTTTAAGGATCCTTATGTTTTTAGGTTCTCAGAGTTAAAACAAAGCGAGCTCAAAGCAACTATTTGTTCAATAAATTAAAGAGATTCAAAATACTTTTAGAATTTCAAATAAAGTCAACAGCAGTTCCCAGTTTAGACCAAGAATCCCCAGATCACTGTTTCTACTAAGTTATTTCATTTGTATGGTAATACAGTGAGGTCAATAGGTCATGATCTAATCTTTTTCTTCCATGATCTAAATAGTCTGGAATTGGAAGGAAAGAGTTAAGGGCAGGCCTGTGGTTTACACACATACAGTAGATTAATTTTATTTTATGCCACAGTATCATTTAGGAGGAGGGTGGCAGAGAGAGATCCATGGGGCGGAGCAAGCACTGGGGGCTCAGCAATTGTGAATGTAATACCACTTCAAGAGAACCGTGACCTTAGCAATTTGTTTCACCCGACCTTGCCCTGCAGTTTGGATCTGCTAAATTGTTATGCAAATACAGCTAGCTTTTAGCTCTGGAGAGTTGTTTTGATTCATGAGCTAAAGTTTTCATCATGCTTTAAATCCTGGGATGAAGAGGCTCTAGCTAAATAAAAATCCCAAGAAGGTTGCAAAGTGAACGCTGTTTTTCTCAGCACGGACCTTTAAAGACATCTCAGAGCAAAACTGACCAGACATTCAAAATAGTTTTTGCAAGACTAGGTTGCTGTCGAAGAAAAGGCTCCCATGAGGGAAAAGTGAAAATCATAGTAGGGGCTGAACCAGGAGGGAAAGGGACTTCCTGGAGCCTGAGAGAGCGTCCCATGAATGGAGATATGCTGCCTCTAGCCTACTGGAAATTCCCTCATATTCCAGAGGATTCCACTGGTTGAGATCTGAATAAGAAAAGTGTAGAATTCTCTGGTCCTTGCCTTGCAGGAAGATTGAGGATCTACTAATTGTGTAGTAAGGAAGTGTATTTGTCTGAGTTTGAGTACGTGTGCATTAAGAGTATAGCATTCCAGGTTATGATCATGACTCAGTGTGGTAATTTGAGTACTTGGTATTACGCATAAGTTCAGATCAGGTTCCCAAGAAAATATATGATGATAGAGAATAGTTTGATCTGATTGTTAATGGCTTCCTGGAATCACTGTGTGTGCTTTAGGCCTCTCAACAAGTTCATGACTACCTTGAGGGAATGAATGGTCATTCATAGAAGAGATTCCCAAATTTCTAAGGATAATACTGTCCTAGGTCATAATAAAGCTACACCTAAATCTTCTGAATACTGAATGGACAATGAAGAACCTCCCTTCTTTCTTGTCTTCCTTTGGTTTCTTCCCTGGGCTTTTCAATTGCACTGGTTTCCTTTCTGTTTCCTTTTGCTGCTTGGTTCTCTTTCTCCATGCCACTGTGGTGTAAGCATCTCTGACATGATTCTACTCCCTCCTTTCTCCACATTTTCCCTTTCTTTTTCCCTTTGTCCTTCTCCTCCTTTTTCATTTGTCAAGGGTCATGATTTTCAAAGCTCTTTTAGATTCAGTCATCAGTTCAATGACCACATGTTAAGCTCCTACTACGTGTTAGACATTGTTGCAGGACCGTCGTGGAAATAGATGAATAAACTCTAGTTGAAAGAAGTTGAGTCTTCCCCTCTCCACAAAGTCACATAGTCGATGAGTGACCAAAATCCTAGCATAGAGCTTATATTCTTGTGGGAGAGACAGACAGTAAAATATAAAAATAAGTCAATGTAAGGTATGTTAGCTGGTGTTAAGGAGTAAAATAAAGCAGTAAAGAGGACGTTGTAGGAGGGTAGCTTGTAATTTTAGATTGGAAAGCCAGGGAAAACCTCTCTGAGAAGATAACTTTTGAATAAAAACCTAAAGGGAAGTGAGAGAGTGATTCATGTGAATACTCAAGGCAAGAATTTTACAAGCAGAGAAAACAGCAAATGCAAAGGCCTGGAGGCAGAAGTATTTCTGGAGCATCTGAAAAATACTGAGGGGTCTATGGTGGCTGCAGCTAAATGATCCAGGTTGAGAGTGGTGGCAGGTCAGAGAGGCAATGAAGAGGTGGCAGAGATGTAAGCTAATGAGGAATTTTGGCTGTACTCTGAGTGGGATAAGAAGGCATGAGGGCAGGAGGATTGAGCAGAAGAGTGGTAAAGTAATGTTTTAACAGGACCACTCTCTCTAACTGTTCTATTGATGATAGATGAAAGGCAGATAAGAGAAGAAGCCAGAAAAGGAAGTATGAGGCTATTGCAATAATCCATGTGAAAGTTAACATTATTGTCAAATCATAAAAAAAAACAACTTTGTTAGGTTAGTGTGATTATTCCCATTCTGAAAGAGAAAAAATTTTATTTGCGAAAAGCTGAGTTATTTGTACAAAGTCATCACATAGTGAGGGACAGTGTGGCTTCAAATTTTTGAATTCATCCCAGCTGCATTGTTGGTAGCAAAAATCAGTCAAATTTCAAAACTGGCTCACCCAGAGAAGATGAAATTCTTTTTATCACCTGATTCAAAATGAGAACTACTGATATACGAACTCGTGTTGGAGAGTCAAACAAACAAAAACAAATCCAAATGCTCACAATTTAAAATGTACTTTTGTGCACATCTGTGCTTTCTGGTACCAGCAATGGGCAGATTGAAAGCTGAGATATATTGGAGGCAGCTCAGGAAAGGCTACAGTAAAAGAAGCCGTGGGAATTAGGAGCTTGGATTCTCTTCTCAGCACTGTTTCTCTGTGGGTATGACATTTAATCTTTCAAAGCTGGAGGTTCTTCTTCCTTGCAGTGGTTGTAATGACAGCTCTTGGCAATCCTCTTTATAGACATGGCAGCGTGCAGACTCCTATGAACATTTTAAGTTCTGTGGGAATGGGAGGCTTCTTGTGGGGTTATCAGTTCAGGCACATATTTATGGTGATATGGAAAACTATTTTTTTTTCTTTCCTATAACTTGACATATTACAACTTGTATCCACATCTAGCTTTGTTTTTGTAAAGGACAGTAATATTAAATGATGTGTCTCCAATCCCGGGTCAGCCTTTTTTACAATAGTAACTATGGAGGTTTGTATCAATATTCAGATGAAAAATGTGCTCACCCCTAGTTAATACATACCTGTAAGCCCGAATTATGTACTCTTCTACATAAATTTCTTTGTCTCCATTGGCAAAGACCTGGTTGTTATGGGAATCTTTCTGGATACAAACAAACGAAAACTATGTGGAGCTTTTAGAGAATCTGTGGTAGCCGAATTTTAGGAGGGAATGAAACTAGAAAAAATCAGGTCAGTTTAGAGGCGCAGACCCTGACGACTCATCTATCACCAGCCTAATTATTTTTTTCTCATTCTCCCAATTAAAAAAAAAAGCCAATATTGACTCGATACTTGTAACACTGTCCTACAGTCTACTAATTAGGCATTAAGGTTTGGCAACAATCATCCTTTTTTAAAAATGCAAGTAACTCTCATGATTATGGGACTGTCAGTTAATCACAGATTAGTACAAATTATTTCACCCTGATTGTTGTAAAATTACCATCCTGTTGATGTTTTGGGTGGAGAAAAGGTCAAGAAGAAGTTTATTTTCCATTATAAAGGATTTGGGGGACATGGGAGACTTTAAGGAAGATTTTCAGAAGATGTGCAAGAATTATGAAATCTTCATTATTCTAAAGTTTTGTCTTGCATGATTTCTATGTGCCAGGCATATCGCATACACGATCCAGGTGGAATCTCACTGAAAGATTTTTGGGCAGCCTGAGGGACTGGAAACAGGAGAAAAGGAGCATTAGAAACTAAGGAAATGGGGTGAAAAAAGGGAAGCAAAAATTTATCTTGCCTAATTCAAAATATTGCCTAGGCTTTGCCCTGATACTGGAAAACATAAAAGAAAAATGTCTTTTCTTT